CATAATTATGCAGCTGTTTCACAGAAATAAAAAAAAACCCTCACACTGTGTTCAATTTAAGTGTCAGACACTTGCTACTAGGAATGGTATTTGTTACTGGTAGCAATCCCATTAGCATCAATGGGACTGTTCATATAAGTGCTATTCATTGTGAACAAGGACTACAGAACTGGGCCAACATTGGTCCAGTCTTGTGGTCTTTACATGTTTACACAAATAGTTCTGAAGTTAAGCTTTAGAAGATGAGGGAACTAAGTCCTGGGAGTTGGAAATAATATCATGAGCAGGAGGATGCACGACCAAGCTTTTCCTGTATGAATACAGATACATTATTAACATGCAGCAAACAGGAAAGCACAGCAAACTTTGCCTTACTATTTAAACATTAAACTTTGTCTTTCTGAGCTGTACTAGACAGATGATCTGCACACAGTATTTTGCAGAACTTGTACAACTGGCATTTGATTTTTTTTTAAACATATTATGAAAATTTGAGCCAAAGATGATATCACAAAGTCCCTTATGCTTACAGGAAAATGTTAAATCAATTAGAGATAGCTAAAATAAAGGAACAATTATTTTTTTGTTTCACACCAATTTTCAGTATCTGTAGAAGTTCTTTAAAAATAAAACAAAGCTTTTTCATGTTCTTTTGAAAGTGATCATATTGAGCATTCTGAAAGCCAGAGTGTGCTCTTTTTCTTCCACAAATATAAGGCTATAAAACTGTATTAGTTAACACAAGCTTCAGAAATTATAAACGAGAGCTGCAATTACGTCAGATATTTGAAGAGTTTGTCCACACATGCATGCACTATATGCTTTTTATGGAATATTTTGACCATAAGGAATATTGCATTAGAACACTAAGTTGCTTTGATACAAAGTTCATGCCCTTTAATAAATTCTGTAGACATACTTCATATATTTCTCCCTGTGAATGAGTGTCCTTGGAAGCATTATTTACCAGATATTTGAAGATGAAGTCTAGACTTACTGGGTGAGGGTGGAGACTGATCTGATAATCTGTGATGGTTGTCAATTCATGCTCTGCTAGTGATCATCATAGGTCTCTCCCTTTTGCAGAAGCAAAAGTTAATGGAGGGTAGGAAAGAATGTGCTGTGGCAGGCCACACCTCTGTTGAAACTCAGAGTTAACTTTGACTTCTGCTGCATTTACTTTGGCCTTGAACTACTGTATAGGATTAATACAGAATTTAGAAACAGTAAGGCCATCTCAGACTCTCTGCTACTCAACTGCTGTTTCTACAATATACATTTCTATAATATATGCCAGTAGTAATATTCAAATCCCTCAGATTTGTAGAAGGAATCCTTTATCAGGTTTAAGTTTTTTCCTTTACAAATGAAATGTTTTACTTCAAACGCAAATGAAACTTGTTACAATGCATTTGCAGTAAGACCATGGTACTGAAAGTGTTTGATCTTGTCTGACAAGCCGAACAATTTTATAAATATAAGCATAGTGAATTTTGTGAGACTAATACAGGCTCCATTCAACTCCATTCAAAGGTTGTAACCAAATATGACTTTAATTTATAATAAAATAAAATAAATTGAAGCACTGGACTAGTAAGTTTCAAATTCAGATTTTAAACCTTTTCTGGGAATCTGTTTAAAGCTATGCTTTTAATATATTTTAAGGTTGTACATTGATAGAAGAAAACCATTCTATTCAGGTTTTTGTGCCTTGCCCATAATTGTGATACGTAAACACCAGACTAGATGTTCTCCCCCTAAAAAGACAGAAGAATGCATAGGAGGAAGAAACAATCTTTGCCACCTTTAAAACAAAGTTATATTTATGTACGAGGCTTATGATAGCTTATTTTTTATTACATTTTAGCTGACTACATCTCTTACACAGGTTTATCTGCTTGCAATTATTCTCTCTCTCCTGATTGCTCAGAGGTAGGTATTGCGTTCTAAAATTATTTAGAATATCTAAAAAAAAGAGCACCTTAGAATGAACATGTCATTACCACCCTTTAAATACAGTAATTGGATAATCTCCATTTTTCATTGTACCTTTATAGTTTGTCAATGAAATCATCAGATGTAATATTTAGGGGGAAGAGGGGAGGAGAATCCCAAAAAACAAGCTACAGGCCAAAGAAGAAATAAGGCATAACTTGTTAGAAATACAGGCATACATTATAACCCAGTGGTTCTCATATATATGTTCATATTGCGGACCACTTTTTTTCCAGACAGAGATTCTCCCTCATCTTTCTTTCTCAACCACATTGCATGCCATTACTTTTCCATCCAAGCAAGGTTCAAAAGAAAGAAGGAAACAACACTTAACTTGTAATGACTGCTGGGAAATTCCCAGGTTTTTCCATCTGTTCCAACTGCTGTCCATTGCAGATTTTTTTTTAACGTGAAGTTCTCCATTTCTGTCCACCATATAGTTTTTGGTGTCTCCAACAAACTCAACCACGTCTAAATATGTTGGTGAAAGAAATCTAACAAACAAAAAAAGGAACAGCTGCACATGGTGCATATTGGTACTTGTTCTGAGTGCAGCTGGTTAACAGCTTTTGAAAACGCCACAGCAAGAAACCTGGGAGTAGGACCATGAGCAAGTGTCATTGCCTACAAACTAACAACTCTTACAATTTGACAGAAATGGCTTTGTAGACCCCACAGAAATATTCCATAAGATGATGCCCTCTAAGGCAGCATCCAGACGATTGTGGCCATGTGGTATGTAAGAAACCTCCATCCCATGCCACAAGCAGCATGGTAGGTTGTTTTGACCCTGGGAGATCCTGGGGTCATAAAACCTGTGTAAAAACAAAAAAAGCAGAGTGGCACACATAGGGGCAGCGCATTCTGCCCAAAACCGGGACCTGGCCAGTTAGAACCACTGCAGCTAAAAGAGGAGATATAGTGAGCACAAAGAAGAAATGACAGGACTGAGTCCCAGCAATTGAAGGAGTGATAGCTAGAAGTCAGACTTAGTAAGAGCCTTTCTTGTACAAATCTCCCAATTTTGAAAGCAGGATTCTAATATTGCTGTTAATTAAGTTGAATCATGAAGTTAATTAAGTTGCATTGTAATTCAGTTGCATCATGTTTATCATGATGCTAATTCATTTATTTAATAGAAAAACAATAGGTTTCTAATTTTTTTTGCCAAATACTGAAATAGTTTTGAAACAAGAAATTACTATGACCTATAGTACATTAATAAAAGTCTCCAATTTGTACTCACTTTCCAATAATATTCAAACTGACTTCAAGAGATGGGGCTTCAAAATGCAACAGTATGGCTATATCTTTCTCAGGGGAAAAAGGACTATTGTAAATATTGTGAAAGCAATGTATTCTCCTGAAATCAAATTTACAAGTTTAAGGCAAAAATGTACACAGATTGATGCAAACATTTTTTGCCACAATAGTTGTAATCATTAGATTTTTTTAATATACAGACATCAAACTTACTTTGTCAATTCTTGTTAGAAAATGAAAGGCAACTCAATAACCAGAATATATATCAGTTATGAGAGACAAACCATTCAGTACAGACTGTATATTTTCTCTCTTATTAACATAATTATTTCCTATTCAGTAATAATCAAAATGACATTTTAGCATTTTGAAAAAAAGGAGAAAATGACCCCGAAGGCTTTATGTGACTATCAAAACAAGCACAGGTACTTTATTTGCAAATTATCATGCATGAAATGATCAACTCAGCAAGTTTATCAGTCAACGAAATGTGTGTTACACCAGTTATAATCAATTTACATGTAAAGATATGGCTAAATATAAATTTTAATGAGTTCTTGTCATTTCATGTTGATCAGCTGCTGTATCACCATAGATTGAAGACTGACCATAGCTAATGTTGCAGAAACAGCACAGCATGCAGACATTCTTACAAATACAATGCAAACCAAACACAAAGGAGATTGTTTTAATATAAATAATTTAACCTCTGACTGATAAGCCATATTTACCTACCAGTCAAGTTAACAGAATATTTTGAAGAGGCCATTTTCCAAGGCAAAGATACATAGACACAGTAGTTTTCTCTTTTCAAAGTCAAAGAGGAAACAACCCGTACAGGCCCCTACAGAATAAAGATCATCTCAGTTCACAGCAGCTGTGTAGAACTACACAGTAGCAGAACCTGCAAAATGATTATATAATCAGAATAAGCATTTTGAGGCTAACATAAGTTCTCTGGCTTTGCACATGTGTTTAATAACTTCTCTAGCTTTATACACATGCTTAATCACAGCTCTGCAAATAAAAAGTTGAATTCAGCCTGAAAGTAAAAACCACTAGGCCAAGTAAATTACAGCTTTTTCATTAGTGGAGAGTGCTGGTCAGATGAAGTCCTGTAGAAACCTGGGAGAAAGAGGCCAAGTTTAGAATTGAGGCTTACATGACTGAGGGCTGAATCTGAAGATATTTGAATTTGAACCTTTCCAGAACAAGGTCACTCATGCAGTCATACTGTTACAGTTACCTCCAGACTTTTGCCTCAAGGTTCCCTGTTTTAGGGCAAATCTGCTCATATACCCAGAGCATAACTTGCACATGTGACCTTAATGTACACATTTTGTACTTCTGCTTCTGATTTTGGCTAGTACTTTAAGGGTTAAATTCAAAAGTAGTTTAACCTTGTTAAGTTTAAGTAAGTGAACAGAATATCCTTTTAAAACTGGATAAAAAAGGAATTCACCTTATTTACAATAGCACAAGACAAGTTTATAATCTCCCAAACAATCATTCTTGTCGCTTCACTATCTTTATTAATAATTTACATGTTTAGTTGGAATAAACATGATTTCTTGTTGATATACAGAATCATTTAGAAACCATATTTGGTATAATTTCACATTTTTGGTGTGTGGAATTCGCTTTTATTCTGATAAAATAGTACAACAGACATACATTCAAAATTATGTTATAGGCTTTGTATATATAAAGAATTTACATTTTTTAAAATTTTGGAATGATGTTTCATATATATGAATTAAAAAAAATCCATTAATCTATGTATGACCTTGCAAGTACACAGAGCAACTGTCATAAACCATAATGAGTTTGACTTAACACAGATCTGGGGCAGATACATGTATGGACACATTCAAGATGTAGTAACATATGTATGATTAGCTTTTACTTTGGTGGCTGTGATATTCCAGGTGCTGAGGCAAAGTGCAGCTGAAAGGCCCTTCCAGCAGTAGGTTTATTTCATGGTAATTTAAAGGCATCAGTTTCTCCTATTCTCCCTTATAGCGAGGGGGTCTTTTCTCCTTAAAAGCAAGAAGACCTTCAATTCTATCTTTTGTTGGTATAGTCTACAAAAAAACAGAGAAACTTCATGTTATCCATACCAGCATTGACAAAAAACGAGGTACAGGTTTCATATAAAGCCACCATTTATTTAATGTATGCAACGTGTAGTCCACAGTAAAATACAGAAATCACAAAAGTGTGAAACTGAACACAGTCCATATACAACTACTTTACAATCTGTGGTTCAGATCTTCAGTTGGAGTAACTTGATTATTGGTAAATGGTTTATTTAGCAATACTAATTTAAACCAGTTGAAGATCTGGCCTGTTGTTTTTAAGTTGCTTATTATTAAATTTCTAGCAAGAAGGAAAAAAAGACATTTTTATTTTTACAGCTTTTATTTTTACATTTTATAAAACCAAAAGCCTTCTCTACAAAACCTTTGATACCCCAGCAGTTCTACCTTCTCAAGAAGATGAACATTGCTGACGCACAAAGAACTACTAATCCTGTAGATATTTAAAATTTTCAAAATTCCTGTAAGACCCTTTTTAGGGTGCAGACAGAAGTGCAAGCATTCTGAGTTACAATGTTGCCCCAGACCAAACAGAAGTTCACTGTTGGTTCCAGGGAGGGGAATCTAGCTGTGGGTTGGAAAGGCTGTAGAATGATTTGCAGGAACTTAAAAAAATGTTAGTGATGGACACTCCAGTACTGGGCAGTATGGAGAACAGATGCAAGCTCTTGTTCAGATGTTTAAATCCGGGCCGTCCAACTTCCAGGCAGTTGGGGGCCACACACCACACAGGCTGCAATCTCAGGGGCCACATAAGATACAGAATACAGACCCTAGGGCCCTGAGCTTTCCTCCCCACAGCAAAGGCAGTACAGCTTCCCCTGCAACCACACATGCAGTGACCCCTTCCCAGCCATATGCACTATCTACCTGCAATGTGGGCAGACTGGTCCCCTCCCTTGGTACATGCATGGGCACCCTAACCACCCCCCCCCCCCCACACCCGGGTAACTCTAGCCTTTCCATTGCGCAGCTGTGCCTCACCCTTGGGACTGAGGGCAGGAAGTAGAAGCTGGAAGAGGGAGAGGGAGCTTAGCTGTTACAGCGGGAGTAATGGTGGGGAGGGGAGGGGGCCTGTAGAACTTTTTTGCTACAGCTACCAGCAGCCGAGGAGTTAATGCCATTGCCAATGAAGGCCAGTTGCCATCACTGCTGGAGAGACAGTGTAAGCATGGCTAACATCCAGGGGGTGAGCATTACAGCTCAATTCAGTGGTTTCGCTCACCACTGGTGACTACAATTTGTGACATTCACCCCCTAGGTGCTGGCTGTACTGACACTGCACCTCCAGGGCTAGAGACAGACATTCAAAAAGCCTGAACATGAATTGATTCAATCTTTGCAGGTTAGTCTAACCTGCAAAAATTCAACTGATTTGCAAGTGAACAGACATTCACATTTCATAGTGGAAATGCAGGCACATGCCTGAAGTGGCTCAGGCTAGAAGCTGGGGGGCGCTAGTGCGAGTCCCCCCTTTGCAGGAGCCACAAGGCTAGAGGGAAGCTGACTTGGGGGGTGTGGCCAAGCCCCCTCAGGGGCTAAGTATGATTGTGGAGGGGTTTAAGCCCCCACCCTGTCCTTACCCCAGATGGGGTGTGCCTAGAAGGGGAAATGGGAAGCAGCTCCTTGCCAGGCTTGTCCCCAAAGCCATACACCAGCCAGGGCAGCTCCTCAGGCAAAGGGCAACAAGGGGTGGGTATTAAACTCTCCTGTCTCCAGGAAGGCATGGAACCCCAGTCAGGGTCTGCCCAGCTTTCCCACCCAGCTCTTCCTCGGGTGGTGGGGGGGCCTGGCCAGAGCAGGCAGCATGGCCCTGCTATCTGCCCAGGGCTCGCTGCAGCTGCAGAGATGAGCCAAGCTGGCCTATGGGCGTTGCTGAGGGTGGAGGCAGTTGGGCCCTGAGCACAGGACAGGGGATGTGGTGGCAGCTGCCAGGCTTGGAGCCCGCCAGTGCCTCTGAGATAGCCCAGAAAGCCTGCTCCCCAGCCAACCCCTGCCCGTGCTGCCAGGCCAGGCTGTCATGCAGCTGCAGTGGGCTGGGAAGGGCCCATCCCCTATGGGCTGCCTGGGGTTCCGTGACAGCTCCACCTGGCTTGGGCATGGGGAACTGTGCAGCCCCTGCGGCCCCACCCTGTGCTGTGGCCTGCTGGGAAGGACAAACACACACAGATACAGACATTCACACACACAAATGGATGCACACAGAAATGCACGCACACACACACTTTCCCCTCACAGGAGCTCCCGCCTCCCCAACTCTCAATCACTCTGAGGTAGTCCCCTCCCTCCAATCCTCCCCACCCTACCATGAGCCGCCTGTGGCTCCATCTTGCTCCCACCTGGTCCCTCTTGCGCCTACCAGCAGGCACAGCTGCCTGGCTGTGTCCATGTGGTTGTGCATATGCTTTGGGCCAGGCCGGGAGTGCTACGCAGTGCCTCTGTGGGAAGGTGGAGGTGCTGGGAGGGGTGTCTATTGGGGGCTAAAGTGAATTAGCCCCCAATAAAGTGAATTAGCCCCCAATTAGAGACAGGGGCGCAGGTGGTTTTTTCCTCTCTTCTTCCGGTGAGGGGGCGGGGACAGAGGCATGGGGCCTGCATTGGTGAAGTCAACCAGCGCTTACGCAGCTGGTGCCGCCGGGCAGGCCTTGGGTTCCTTGACAACGACCCATGCTTTCGGGAGGGGGGATTGCTGGGGCGGGATGGGCTTCATCTCTCCCCTAATGGCAAGCGTATCTTCTCTTCCAGGTTGGCTGATCTCGTACGGCGAGCTTTAAACTAGACTCGCCGGGGGAGGGGGCTGCAGGAAGACGAGGAGACGCCATCAGGGCAAGGGGTGCAAAGGTAAGTAACAGGGGTCCTGATGGTCTGGCTAATCAGGGGGTGGGGGGGCACACAGTCTTGCAAGGCCTTAAATGCCTGTACACCAATGCTCGTAGCATGGGGAACAAACAGGAGGAACTCGCCCTCAGAATAGCTAGTTCAAATCCAGATGTCGTAGGGTTAACAGAGACATGGTGGGACTCATCCCATGACTGGGCAGTTAACATTAGGGGCTATAGGCTGGACAGGCGGGATAGAGAAGGCAGAAAAGGGGGGGGGGTGGCACTTTATGTCAAGGAGCACTACACATCCTCTGCCAGCAGTATGGGGTCAGGGGAAGGGCGAGCTGAAGTGCTCTGGGTCAAGATCCAGGGGGGGCAAGGCGAGAGGGATTTGACGGTGGGGGTCTATTACAGACCCCCCAATCAGGAGGAGGAGCTGGACAGGGAATTTTCAGGCCAGCTTGCGGAGACACTAAAAGCAAGGGATGTAGTTGTCATGGGCGATTTTAATTACCCGGACATCTGCTGGGAGGAGCAGTCAGCCGGGACGGACCGCTCCAGGAGGTTCTTGGCCGAGTTGCAGGACCTCCACTTGATTCAGGAGGTGCACAGTCCCACCAGAGGAGATGCTCTGCTGGACCTGGTCCTGGCCGCAGGCGACGACCTGGTAAGAGGCCTCCAGGTTCTTGACCACCTGGGCAATAGTGATCATCGCGTGCTGGAATTCACCATCCAGCGTAGAGTGTCAAGGGCCCGCAGCAAGGTGGTGGCCCTAGACTTCAGGAGGGCCAACTTCAGTGAGATGAGGAGATTAGTGGGAGAGGAACTGGGGTCCTTGAGGGCAGAGGAACTCAGCGTCCAAGAGGAGTGGTCGTTCCTTAAGGAAACGATACTCGGGGCCCAAGGGGTGTCCATCCCGACAAGAAGCAAGGCGGGCAGGAGTGTCCAAAAGCCCCCCTGGCTCACCAAGGGTGTCCGGGAATGCCTGCTTGCCAAAAGGGTGGCGTACGCCCGGTGGAAGGGGGGTGTAATCTCCAAAGAGGAGTATACCTCCTCTGCTCGGGCCTGCAGGCGGGCTGTTAGGAAGGCCAAGGCGGAGATAGAGCTCGGATTAGCGTCCAGGATTAAGGATAACAAAAAGTCCTTTTTCAAATATATTGGGAGGATGAAGAAGGCGCCGGGTAATGTGGGGCCCCTGCAGGATATGCGGGGCAATCTGGTGGTTGCGTCAGAGGATAAAGCGGACCTCTTTAACCAATTCTTCACCTCCGTTTTCTTGTGCAGGGACCGGGACTTCCCTGCTGTGATAGAAGCCGGACGCGAGGGGATCGCCTTCAGACCTCAGGTTGGGGAGGACCGGGTTAGAGAGCTTCTGGAGGGGCTGGACGCGTTCAAGTCAGCGGGTCCGGATGCTCTCCACCCCAGGGTGCTGAGGGAGCTGGCTGGGGTTATTGCAGGGCCCCTGGCACGGCTCTACGAGCGATCGTGGTGCTTGGGCCAGGTGCCAGACGATTGGAAGGTAGCTAATGTGGTCCCCATCTTCAAAAAAGGGAAAAGGGAGGACCCGGGCAATTATAGGCCCGTCAGTCTTACCTCAATCCTGGGGAAGCTCTTTGAGAAGATCATCAAGGAGCACATTTGTGATGGGCCGGCATCCGAGATGATGCTCAGGGGCAATCAGCATGGATTTATTAGGGGGAGATCATGTCAGACCAACCTGATTGCCTTTTATGATCAGGTCACAAAGGCCATGGATGCAGGTGTCGCGGTGGATGTAGTCTTTCTGGACTTCAGCAAGGCCTTTGACACCGTCTCTCACCCCATCCTAATTAGTAAACTAGGCGACTGTGGCATAGATGCCTACACGGTCAGATGGATTGCAGATTGGCTGAAGGGTCGCACTCAGAGGGTGGTGGTGGATGGATCATATTCGACTTGGGGGGAGGTGGGTAGTGGAGTCCCTCAGGGCTCGGTCCTGGGCCCTGCGCTGTTCAATGTCTTCATCAGCGATCTTGATGTTGGGGTGGAGAGCAACCTGTTTAAATTCGCTGATGACACCAAAATTTGGGGGGAGGTGAGCACGCTAGCAGGGAGAGAGAGATTGCAGAAGGATCTGGATAGGTTACAGGGGTGGGCAGACAGGAACAGGATGCGTTTCAATACGGACAAGTGCAGGGTGCTGCACTTGGGTAGTAGGAACCAGCAGCACACTTATACGATGGGGAACTCCCTACTTGAGAGCACGGAGGCGGAAAGGGATCTTGGTGTCATTATTGACTCCAAGATGAACATGGGCCGACAATGCGAGGTCATGGTTGGCAGGGCTAACCGGACCTTGTCGTGCATCCACAGGTGCATCTCGAGTAGAGCCAGGGAGGTGATCCTCCCCCTCTATGCGACGCTGGTCAGGCCGCAGCTGGAGTATTGTGTCCAGTTCTGTGCGCCCCATTTCAGGAGGGATGTGGACAACATGGAGAGGGTCCAGAGGAGGGCCACCCGCATGATCCGGGGACAACAGGGCAGACCCTACAGTGAGAGACTGCGGGACTTGAACCTATTCAGCCTCCACAAGAGAAGGCTGAGGGGGGACCTGGTGACCGTCTATAAACTCACTAGGGGGAACCAGAAGGGTTTGGGGGAGACGCTGTTTCCCCTAGCCCCTGCTGGCATAACAAGGAATAATGGGCACAAGTTGATGGAGAGGAGGTACAGATTGGACATCCGAAAAAACTACTTCACAGTCAGGGCGGCTAGGAGCTGGAACCAACTTCCAAGGGAGGTGGTGCTGGCCCCTACCCTGGGGATCTTTAAGAAGAGGCTGGATACTTACCTGGCTGGACTCATTTGAGTCCCGTTTTTGTTTTTAGGGTGAGTGGTTTTGTTTGTGTTTTTGGGACTATGAATTTCGGGGTGGCTACACCTGCCTATCTGCGGGGAGCACCACCGTCCATCTGCAGAGGTGCAGCATGGCGCTTCTAGCCCGCTCCGCGGTGCGGCAATGTGCGGCACTCCTGGCCAGCCCAGCCCCAGCCTCCCCCTCCCAGCCCCACTGGGGGACGGGCCCTGCTCCCAGATTCAGGGAAGCAAATGCAAAAGCTGTGGTTTTAAACTTGGAGTCATTTTTGTTTTCCTGCTGGGAAAACGCACCAAGTTTAAAACCGCGGCTTTCGCTTCCCTGCTGATAAGGATCCCGGGTCCCCAAATTGGTTGTGGCCCCTGGGCTTGGGCCCAGCTGGCCCATCTGTTAATCCACCTATGCAGCCCAGCTCAGGGCTAGGATGCTGGAGGACTCTGGTTTAACTTAAACCAGGAAGGGGTCTGGGACAGAAGTTGCATAAACTGGATTGGCCCAAAACAGTTAAGTCTGATACTACACTGAACCAGGTTTATCTTAAACCAGTTTTGACCATTTTGAAACTGATTTATGTGCACTGAACACATGTTCTGTTACAGGTATAAACCAGTTTCTGATCACTTAAACCAGTTTAAGCACGTAACTTCTGTCCCTAGCCCAGCAGTCACAGCAATGGGGCTTCAGCAGCTGTGGCGTTAACTCCTTGGCTGGTGGCACTGACAGCACTGCCATAAGCTGCAGTGAGAAGCCGCATGGATCGTATCCAGAGTAGGCTCTCCAGCCCACAGTCACTTATTTGAGTTTGACACGCATATCTTTACTCCATAATGCACAGCTCTACAGGCTTATGGGCTACGAAGTGTACCCAAGCTGTCCTGTGAGTTAGCACATATACTACTATTACCATGCACTAGTCAGGTGCTCTGGCACATAGTTCCCACAGCAGACCACTCTTGAATCACAAGTTGGTTCTTAGGCTGGATGTCTGAATGGCACAGTGCCATGCCCCCTTTCTGAATAGCCCCTTCATATAAGAGGATGTTTTGCCTCAAACTCCCTTCCTTCCTTAATTATTTAAAAAAAAAATGCTACAAGGAAAGGAAAAATTCCATACCTGAAGCATTGTTAGGAGAAAGCACATCAATCTCAAGCTGTGGCTCTGCATATTTTTCTATGTAGGCTTTAACAGAGAAGTTTTTGTAAATTATGTTACATACCTGAGCATAACAGGCTTCTTCAATTGCTAAGCCTGTTACTAAATCCACCTGGGGAAGAAAAATGAAATATTTCAAGAGTGAGTAATTTCTGCATATAGTATATATTTTATTTCCTTATGTCTCACCTCTAAACACAAATATTAATACAGTTCTAGGAAGTCCCTACCTTGATGCAGATTTTTTTTGTATTCTGTGGTTAAGGAAAGATTACTATTTCTGTAATCAATTTCTTTATTCTGAGATGTAATTACTATTTAACAGATTGCCAAAAATAAGAAATGAACACAGAATGGATGGTCTTCACTATAAAGTGACCCAAAGTAATTAATTAGCTGTACATTTTTAATTATTTCAGCTACAAGGGGGCAGAAACCTAGCACTGATTACAGATCATCACTGATGATGCTTTAAAAAACACCATATTTACCTGAATCCAAGATGACCCTGAATTAAAGACATGCCCCAAATCATTAGATTCTATACACAGAAAATGTATAAATTTGTTATCATTTTCCATGTACAGAATCTAATTATTGGAGAGTCTTAAATTTGTCCCCCCACCACCTAACAATGCAACAGGGAAAGCAGTGGGGGGGCGGGGAGAGGAGGCAGGCAGAGGGGGCAGGCAGTAGGGGATGCAATGGGGGGGTAGGCAGAAGCAGTGGCTCCAGCAACAACCCCAGGTTGGGGCTGGGGTGGGGGCTAGAGCTGGAGCCATAGCCCAGCTTGAATTCAAGACAAGAGTCTTTTTTCCCCACCATGTTCTATGTGGGAAAAACCTCATCTTAGAGTCAAGTAAATACAGTCGTTTTGAAATGGATTCTTCAAGGCAGTAAAAATGTCTTTCTACATGCAGAAGTGCCTAAAATAGACCATGAATGCTACAGAAATACCAAAGTTGACATACTTAATAACAGATATTATTTACAACTGAAAAGTTACTCATCAGCATACAACATAAAAAAATTTACCTCCTGTAAAGCGAGCTAGATGCTACGTATGTCAAAGTTTGTTATGGAATTTTATCTTACATTTGTACCAGCACACAATTCTACCACTTCCAAAGCACTAACAAATTACATCTGTTGTTTAGGACAAAGTGCATGTCTCCTGACGGCAGTTTCACCTATTAAAAAGGAACAATTTCATAATATTTCTATAATGTAATATATGGAAGATTGTGAAAGAACTGCACTCTCATACTCAATAGTTAGTTTTGCAAAATATCACTTTTGTATACACACTGGCCTAATAGAACAGAATATTTTAATGTTCTACTACTTTGCTTTTATTATTATTGATATGTTTGACCAGTGTAAATTATAGCTATAAAGGTGTCCTTTATTTGCTCCATGGATAGCATTCACTATTAACATAGTTATCATAATGTGCCATAATTCTGCCTTGTGTGCATATAAAAGCACTCATTTTATAAAAATTGGTATAAAATGTAAGTTATACTACAAGTTTAATGAAATGTTTTCTTATATAATATTAGAGTATTGCTATAGTAAAGTATGTATTTCTCCAACACAGACAAATAATGGTCCCAGACCATCTCTTATAACCTGCACAATATTTCTGAGTAGCAGCTTGAACAGTTTCAAGGGCTGAATTTCCCCCTCCTCTACTTCCTCATGGTTCAGCTATCAGCTTTCCATAAGCATCGCCTATTGGCATCAGGGACCAGCTCTTTTACTGGCTTCTGACATCTGAGCTTCAAATTATATTAGATTTGTTAACATCTTCTGGTCCACTGACCCACTTTGTTTGGAACCAAGACTATCTGTCTTGCACTAATTTTCAACTGTATATTATTTAAATCAATCTTGTATTTGTATCCTTTGGAAGATAAATAAAAAAACAAACCAAACCAAAAAAACCCAAATAAACAAAAAAAAACAAGCAAGACCATGGACGTATAAATGGTCCTATGAAAACCTCAGCTGTTCTGAGAAAAAAAAAAAAATAGCTGTGGTAATACTATCCCTTGAACTGAGATAAATATATGTCCAAACTTGGGAAATTTTATCCTAGTTTCAATCCAGGGTTAATTCTTTCCAGAACAAGGTCACTCATGCAGTCACGCTGTTACAGTTACCTCCAGATTTCTGCCTCAAGGTTCCCTGTCTCAGGACAACTCTGTTCATATACTCAGGGCATAACTTGCACATGTGACCTTAATGTACACATTTTCTACTTCTGCTTCTGATTTTGTCTCTTACTTTAAGAGTTAAATTAATCAGTATTGTAACCCTTTAAGCTCAATTATGTAAATAACTGCATGATTATCCTACAATTTATACCCTTAGTTTATGCGTTATAATCCCAATATGATGCAACTTCTCCCACTCTGTTCTCTGGGCCAAAGTGAGCTTCAAGAAGGGACACTGCAAAGACCTATTCATATGCTTAGAGCCTGTAAGTAATCCAGCTGAGCTCAGCAGGATGACTCAGATGTTTAAAGTAAAGCATGTGTGTGACTGCTCATGGCTGGGTCTTAAAAGAATTCTAGAGCTGAATCAGAAGAGTGCACTGAGTTGCACTCGGTTTATGTTAGATTTTGTATATAATTTGAACGGTACTGTACCATAAACTATTATAAAAGTGACAGTACCTTTTCTGGTCTTTCATAGAATTTGCACTTGAAACAGCAAAGATAGTCTTGACAGCATGATGAGTATCAGTTTAAGATCACCTTTTTCCCCAGCCTTGGATATGAATGACTATTTAACAAACGGTATGCCTACTTGCTAGCGTTGATAATAAACATACTGAAAAAGTTGCTAACAAAAGTGGCATTACGAAACACTGTTACTGCAATGTCCAGTCAGCATCAACCATATCCTCATGAGCATGAAATCAGCATAGAAGTATTAAAAGAACCACCGTTGCTTTCAATTTTAGGCTAGATCTAACAAAGTTTTCTGACTTAATTTAAGGTAAAAATAAAACAACAAATGCAAGCACATTTAGAAGGATACAGCCTCTAGATGAGATATATAATAGTTCTTGGGGGTTTTTACTCAAATTTAAGATTCAGGCAATTTTTACAAGACATTTTCATTCTAAAAAAAGGACCTTATATTCAAAAGTGTAAGAGAATAAAGGATTTGAAAAACCCACTAAAAACTCATTCACTCCTTTTTCTTTTTAAACACATGTTTTAGTACACCTTCACTTTTCCAGGTTTCTTCTCAGTTAGAAATAAATATATCTTTACCTCCATCCCCTGATTGATGGCCAACTTCGCAACTCTCATTGCTAAGGGTCCCTAAAATTAAAAATGAATCAGAGTTACAAGTCAACCCATACAGCAAGATTATGATTTGAACTGTCTACAAAGAGATGCCATCATTTTTGCATTATGCAGACTCTAAGTCAAGGAGACAACTAACAGATTTTAACACCCTTACTAATATGACCACATTTTACTCCAAATATATATGCTAAGAAAAACTAAAGGTAGTATATAACTTTAAAAAACTGACAAAAAAAATTATGGCCTCAATTTTAGAGGTGCTGAGCCTGAGCATCTCCTATGAATTTCAGCTGTAATTGAGGGTGCTCAATACCTTTAAAAATTACACTTATAGTAACCAGAAAGTTATTATATGAATCTGTGTAATTATCATGGATGTCCCAATGATCATACTAAAAGGACACATGGCATCTGAAACTAAAGGAAAGGAAAAAAAGATATGTTCAAAACTGAAATGCATAAAGTGCAGAAAAATGCCTGCAGTCAGATTCCAGTGGACTTCTTTCAGAGGGCAGAGTAAGGGGGTAAGAGTGTGTGCAAGGTCCCTAACTACACTTCTAATATGTTCCACAGAATGGCTAGACTCGATGGGAATCTATTACTCTAGTCATGCAAGTACTCTGCACACCAATGACAGAAGTGTTCAGAAACACAAACACTGTCCCAAAGAGCTGGCAGATGTTTTGTCTGACTTCAAAGCCCCTAAACTAACTCCAATGAGAAGCTGCAGTTATATATCATAATCCAGCCCTCACTTGAAAATCTGTACTCCTTTTTTCATGTCACACTTTGTAACCATGTTTCAAAAACAAAATCAATAATGATTTTCAACAGCAGTTTAATTTGCTGTTTAATTTGCAGTCTTTCCAATTCTAAATGGCAAGATTTCTGCAGTTACGGTAGTACGCCAAATTTAGTGGTAGCTACATAAGGATTTTTATTTATAGGCACTTACTATAGACTGGGAGTAGTCACTCTGAAAAGTCTTCAGTAGAAAAGTGGGTTTATAAAGGGTTCCAAAACCACATTCATTATCTAGACATGCATCTTCTGCTCTCCCACCCCATAACATTTTCTTTGGTGCTACTGCATAAAGTCTCCTGCAAAAGTGCCATCTCTGGAGACATTTAATTTGTTTGTGAACTCAGTATGAACATGCAGTGATTGAGAACTGGGACTTTTCTAAGGACCATGAAGCGCATCAGAAGATTATTAATTTGCTAAGTGTCAACAAAGTACTCAGTTCTTCAGTATTAAATTAATATCAAGACAGTTTCTACCCCAGAGGATTTATAGTCTAACACAACTGACCTAGGAAGACAAGACGCACTTGGAAGATCCAGCAGAATCATCAGTAAAGGCTTAAAAAAAATACTGTTTTCATTTATAAAAATTCAAAATATCTAGAATCTTAGCAATGCAACATCAAGGGGATAAACAGAATTTGTGTGTATTGGTGTGGGGAGGGTACAAAAGTGCTGATTAGATCAAGTTCAGGTTTCTCATCTTTTCTGGAATGGGCAGGATTGGTGCAGAATACAGTTAGCCTCAATCAATCATCACAAAAGCTCTTGTAGTCTGTTTTTCAGGAGGGTCACATTTAGATTTTGCTGGAGTTCTAGTATTTGGGTCACGTAAACTGAACCAGATTTCCTGTGTTTACATGTTACATGGAAGGAAAAAGATAAATTTCTTTTGACTGAAAAGTAGGGTAAAACATAACAACTCTATGTGCTGTGAGCAGAAACACTAATGTCTATGCAGTTCCTTGAGAGCAAGAGAGAATATCCAGCTAAATAAAGGCTCCCTCAACATGTTCCACATTTGATTGTCATGAATAATCAGATAACAGGCCCATCTAGCCTTGGAGAAGTTAACAGTGATATTTTGCAATAAGGCAACTCAGAATTAATGTACGTCTAGCTGTCTAATGCTGAATCTTTGGAATGTGTTTTAATAACACAACTGTATTTCATCTCTCTCTGATACGGTTACTTTTGTAACCTAGAACAGTGCATGAACATGAAACATGACTGCACGGTTGCAAATGGTCCAGACAGTTCTTCCAGTAAAAACAAGATATTGAATAAATGGAAAAAATGATTAATTTTGATAATAAACTTTAAGTTTCCAGTGCAATGTTAGTAATGAATATAATTATGAAAAAGGAAGATTTAAACCCTGACAGCATCTATTTATTAAATGTTGTTCAATACAGAGAACCTGCGCCTTTTACCTTGGCAAATCATACTGAGAAATTCAGACTTTTCTGGGCCAAAGGACAGAGAGAAATTCATCCTGGTTTAAAAGACATAGAGAAGGACTCCACTGTCATTTGGCTGTTTTCTCTTTCTCAAAAAGTGATCAGTTTTATTATGGCAATAACATGAGATGCCTCTTGAATGTCTTACTTCATTTGGAAATGTTTTGTGACATTAATTTGCCAGGTTTAAAATATGAAAGCAAAAAATTAATAATGCAAAGACAAAGATCAAAATAAGGCAAATACAGTGATGAGACAGGATTATCTGCCTCGCTATGAGGTAACTCCCAACTAACAACACGATACATGTGACGGCTTTCAATTTCTGTCTGTGTGTTTAGAAGGGGCACTTTTGACACATTTTCTACTGCAACATTATTTTTTTTTAAACATTCCTGGGTCACTGTTCTGACCTGGAGTGAGACAATCCTCTCCAAAACAGAAACAAAATTAAAACATCATTATCTGCTGTACCTGAGGTAAAAATTCTCTTGCTAGAGCCAAAGCTCTTCTGTAGGCAGCATCCCCTGCTTCATTCTGTTGTACCACATGGCTGATCAATCCTATTGATTTTGCTTCTTCACCATCTACAACACGTGCAGAGAAGATTAGTTCCTTTGCTAGAGATGCACCAATTGTACGAGGTAACCTCTGTGTCCCTCCTGCAGTTCGGAGGAAAAAAAGGAAATGCGGAAATATCAGCATAGTCTAAATGCCAGATACTCACTTTAAACATTTCATTACTTATATAGACAAACAGTTATGCATACGTAAGCACATGCACTATTTCTACTACACTATACAATATCAGAATCATCTGACACCCTGATACTTTACGACTTTTGAAACTTTACCACAAATGAAATCAATATTTTAGCTTCCTAGAAAGAAATCTATTTATTTACTAATAAAACCTACTCAAATAATGTTTCTATTACAAAGAAATCAACTTTTTCAAAATATGATCCACTTTTAAGAAAATGTACTAGTACTTACCAGCAAGTCTCCACACATTTTTGCCTTTGTTTAATCTATGCACCTACATGGCAATCATAATAATATGACTTCCCTTTATGGTTTACCATGTTCCACAAAACTCCAATCCATTTTGAAAATTATCCATCAGTTCCAGACACAGCTTATTCCCATAAAATCCAGTATAGTAAGCAAATGCTATGAAAACACCATGGTCCATATTACCCTCACTTTCATAGTGCTGTCTGAAATCCAGTGCAGGATAACAAACCTCCCCCAAAAAACAAGCGGTGTGGACACACAATATGTTTACTCTGAAGCAGAAGTTGAGTGAACACATAACAGCCAGCCCTGCACTAGCATAAGTCATTAAACTTACTCTTCAAAGTCAGAAGCAACAATACTGTGTCCACTCCCCTACCCTCAGTTTGATCCTGGGGTGCTAGCTGGTATCCCCGTCATGACATGGCCCATTACTGTAACACAGCCTACAGCATGCAGCCAGTTTGGGAGAGATGAGGTATGGAGTGCTTTTTAACTATTACGGTCCAAGGAATATTCAAGAACCAAGGGCTTTTTTGGGGTCTTTTATTGGACCAACTATATAGTTGGGAGAGATGTTAGACAAGTTTTGGGCACAATTTGCTCTCCCTCAGGTCTGGGAAAGAAGTAAGTACAGGTACAGGTCATTTGTCTACTTGGCAACTGAGTGAATTTACTATGGAGTAAATTCTGGGGTAAATCACTCCATGTTGTGTGTCCACACCCAAGGAAGTAGATGGCAAGTATGGGTCCATAGAGATGGTAGATGTATTTATGGCACAATTAAGGTATCAATTATGCCATAAATCATAACATGCTAATGTTAAAGACAATTTATAATATGATAATTTAGCAAATGAGTTGCAAAAATATTGTGTGTGTGTGTGTGTGTGTGTGTGTGTGTGTGTGTGTGTGTGCACACAAAATATCTTTTTGTGACTAGTTTGCATCACACTTTGAACTGAATATGTGGCATGGCTGCCCCTGCCAGATCCCAATATTCAGCTATCAGGATTGGGCATGAGGCAGTCCCAGAGTCCAGGACACAGCTGGCCCTTGCCTGACCAGCAGGATCAGGCTGAGGGCATCCCTGAATTCTGGCCCCGGCTCCCCCCCTCCACCATCCAAGCCATGAAAGTAGATATGGGGAGGAGAGGTACCACAAGGCTGACATCAGGGAGGCTGATGTCAGGCTCACAGTGCCCTACTGTATGCCTGATTTTTTAAGAGTTCACCAGGCACTGTAAGCCTCTCCCCAGTGTTGGGCTCATAGTGTCCCTCAACTTTAAAAAGCAGGTGGGGAACAGTAAGCTCCAGCTGCACATCTGGTTACCTGTGGGAAGCACCCATAGAAATGACATATGGGACAGGCTGCAGGGTGATGTAGGAAACCTGCCAGCATGGAGCAGTGCTTTGGGCTCCCAATGTGCGACTCCCCACACACTGGCAGCTGGCAACCAAGTGATTGGGATCTAGGGAATTTTATGCCCGGTCCCCAAAATCATTAGATCTGCTGTGCACAGCTAGCATGGCAGGTCGTGCACTTCTGCAGATGAGGCATACAATTTTTCAGGCCCCAATCCTGCAGCTGCTTTAACATCTGCTTCAGAGAGCTACCGTAAGTTAGCTTTCCTTACTACTTCAGGAAATGCTTCTATAGATTTCCTTTTGGACAGATCAGCAAACAGTCACTGCTCTAAAAGCATGGCTAAAAAATGAATGATAGCCTAGAGAATGAAGTAACTTCCCTAAATGAACACACAATAGCAATGAGAGTAAAAATACTGAGTAAAATGATGAACTAAACTGGCATAAGCAAACGTATAAATCTCCAAAGCAGATATTTTTTTTAAAGGCAAAGTGTGTAAGCTGCCTTTATTCTAGCAGAATGGACTCCAAATTTGTCTGCTCCTGGGCCTCCTGCTTTGACAGCAGGTTTAAATAAAGTATATGATCCATTTAGATAAACTCTAAATAGAAATTTCTTTCTGATTAAAGTTATTTCCACAAGGACATGCTAACAGAGGGTAGAAGAAAGACTCTATTTCTGGTAGGACTATTTATGGAGGCACATTTAGGGGGGCAGTCTACACTGACATAGTTAATGAGTATTCAACCAATATAAAATATATATCATTTCAGTATTTAAAAAAGGGCATACTATGTTAGCATTTAATTAAAACCAAGCTGGGTTGTTTGTTGTTTGGTTTTTTTAATGTTTTTTTTCCCTAAAAGTATTTAAATAGATCTCGTGGACAAAATTATCCAACTGTAAACAAATCAAAAGCTATTTAATTCAACTTTCATTAAGATTTATTATGTGTAGCCAGCTTTAGCACTGCCGTATACATTTTCATAAAATATACACGCTTTCACTGTATTACCCAATACCAAACAGGTTTTTGGAAGATCACTGCTAGTGGCTTGTAACAAAGGTGGAGATATATTTTCTATAATGAAATTGACTTTATCAAAGTAATAAGCAGAAGTGGTGGTATCTGTTTTGCAAACAAAGCAACCTTCTCAGTTGTCCAGCTTAGACTATAGAAGCATAGCAAAACAAAAGGACTGATGGCATCCATGACTGCTCAAGGTTTTAGACTTCAGTAGCTTTCGTTTAAACCCGAGAACAGACATTCTACATATGTCCTTCCAACTCAAATTGGTGGTGGTGTATGTGTGTGGGGAGGTGTTGGGAGGTAAGGGAGAGGTCACGTACAGAATGATCATTGTCCAGAGCAAATTCAAGTGTCAAGAGTTGTAAAAATGTTGACAGCTGTCAGAGCAGGGGTCAGCAAGTTTTTTGGGCATCCTTGACTTGTCAGATGCTGGCATTCCAGGGGCAGACATCCGGGGAGCTGTGAAAGGCCCAGTCCTTGTCACGGCAGCGCAGCCCCAGACCCTTCCCTGAGGCACGAATGCCAAGCAAAATGCCTTCCTGTGCCATGCTCTGGCACGAGTGCCAGGGGTTGCCTACCCGTGTTAGAGCATGACAGAACTTCCATTTGTCCTACAAATGATGCAGGTGAACCAATGGATCATTGGTTCATTGGTTCTACCAGCAGAATTTTTCTTTGTTAAAATTCTCTTATAACAGCATGATTATAAAAACAAAATAAAGTCCTCTATTCTCCAGAATCATTTCTTTGTAAAAAGGTACTTCCATAGTAATGCAAACCCTACAGCATAAACTCTCTCATTGGTCTTGTCTGCCTCATGGGAGTAACAACATGGAGTGACTATACGATTAAGCTTAAGATGAGGTGGCCTGACCGTTAATAAATCCTTTACCAAAAAAGAGGGAGATTTTCTTTCAAAAGGATTGTTTAACGAACTGCAGCTGTACCACCCTCCCCCAGCAGAAATGATAAGATTTTTTTAAATTAACTTAACTATCTAGACCTTTTCATTTCTCATCCAAAAAAGCTGTCACCCTTTAATCAGTGTCAGTCCTTGTGCACATTCTAACTGTGTATCACAGCACAGCAGATGTCTGATCTGATTCTGTTTGAGATGGATAGGTTTCCCCTATATCAGCCCTTACACCATAGGACTTTATCAGAAATGCAATCTAGAAATAAATCAGATTCAGCTTTGGATCAAATGCAAACTATGTGTCCAAATCACGAGATTAGGAGTCCTCTATCTATTGACTCCACTTCATCTGTTCCTTCCTTGTTCACTCGTGCTTAATATTTTTTCTTACTTATCTTTTCTTCTTTTATAGTTTTAATCTTTTCTATTACCACATCCAGCAGGAAATGTTGAAAACAAAACTTCATTGACCAACAATATTTCATAACTTTGACCAAACAATGAGTATATTTAAGCATGAAACAATGTTTATGGATTTTAAAAAAGTTCTCTTGCCAGTGTCTTACACAATAAGGATTAAAGAGCAATAAAGCAGACTACCCTCTATGCAGCCTGGCGGTCTCCTACACTGCAAGACCATTAAGGAACAGAGCATGTTCCTCTGGTTAACATTCACAGACATTAGCCAACAGTTTAATGAATCAATCACATATTATATAGTAACCACAGAATATATACAAAAAAGTTCCAGATTCAATCAAAATTAACATATTTAACATCAAGATATACACATTATGTAAATCTGTAAGAAAAAACAGTGAGTACACTTCATACAGATCATTTTTTTGATAATATATAAAGAACATATAGTTCCTGCCAAATACAAATCAGAACTAAAGGAAGTAACACTTAATCTTCCAAGGCATTACTTAATTTGACGGAAAAGACAGTTATATCTTTTTAAACATTTTGTGCCATATTATTTCATGGACTAATATTGATATTACTCACTGTGCTGATAGAAAACAGCTGAAGTACAGCTCCACTCTTAATACATTTTTATCAGAGGTACTACACATGTAATGTAAATGTAAGTTTTGGATGACACTAGTTAAGGGGTGGGCAATTATTTCGGCTGTAGGGTCACTTAATGAGTTTTGGTGATCTGTCGAGGGCTGCAAGGGTAGCCCCACCCCTGGTCACCATCTTGGGACCGGAAGTCCCACCCCCTAACCTCTGGCCTTTGCCACCAGAAATCCCTGCCCTTACCCCAAAAGTACTCCTTTTGGGAGGGAAGGTGCTGCCATCCTAAAATTGGAAGAAAAAAATC